AAGAAATATTAGATATATATATATATATATATATATATCAATATTATATATATATATATATATATCAACATTTTGTTCATATTTTTAGATGTTATATATCTATTGTACATTATACAGAAAAAATAGCAAGTTTGAATTTATTTAGTATATTCAATATTATTTAATCATACTTATAAGGACTTTGAGAGTCAATCAGCTGCATATTTATATATTCTTCCTTCGAGTTCTCCATGATTTCGCAAATTTCCTCTGACTTGTTTATATCACTAAAACATTTTTTGTTATGTTTTATATGTTATTCTCATTAAATTATTTAAATTTTTTATGTATACACTACACACATTACATTAAATCTTTTAAAATTATTTAAACAAATAGTTTAATTTTGCCATTATTATCTCTAGCAACAAGAAGCAATCGTAATTATATATTATAATTTTAGATATTGAGCAAATTACTTATTAAAATTATTTTATATGATGTAAGACATTAATTTATCTTCTTAGGAAAATAAATAAAATAGTTATTAGTTTTATTTTAATTTAATTTAAATAAAATAATTGCATATATAGTAATATAAAAATTGAAATGTTGACTTAATTTTGTCATAATCTCGTTTTAATTTTCAACAAAAATGTGAGACTCGACCTATATCAGGATACATTCAGATACATTCAACTTCTAATCAATTGGGACAAATGTGGAGCAATGCAATAAAGGAAAAGTGTCAATTCCCCATTGCGAATTCCGTTGCATGCGGGTTTAGTACATTCTTTACAGAACAGATTGCTCTTAATTATTGCATTGAGGTCAAATGCAGCTTGAGGTTAACTTACTGAAGGTTGCACCCGGGTATCCTCGCACTTCGCTATTTATGCCTTTGACTGTTTTGCATTGTTGAACCGAACGATTGATCTCAAATACGCGCGAGGACAAAGTCTATTCTCGTAAAATTGTAAATTCACATTTAACGATGATGCACCTCTTCGCATTTAGCGATGTATCATTATAATTACAAATTATTATGGGATAATTGTAATTTGCTTAATATCTATATATAATTATTTAATAGCTAATTAATTCTTTGTGTTATGCACTGCAAAAGCAATGCACTGTGTTACGAAGGTTTGATGTGCCAATAACTCAATAACATAATAACACAGACATCTAATTTTATACCAAGGAAACATTTTCTATTCTAAGGTCATGGTCGCGACAGAAATATCTGGGAAAAAGGAAATCATTATCTCGCAAAGATTCCAGCGCATTCTGTCTATATTAAGACAAATTGCGCTTGAACCTTTTAAGTACTATATAAATTTGTGTTGTCTGAATCAAATTGAAATAAAACAATTTACTGCGTATCATAATGTACGTTAATATATTTAAAATAATTAACAAAATTATAATAACTGATAAAAGTAGTTAGATTTAACATTTATTCTCTAATTCAGATTCATATTTTTTTTTTACTTTAAAGTCGCTATTTTTTGATAAATTCTATGAAAACTATAAAACTAACTTACCTATTATATATATATAGTTTCAATCAACTTTCAGTAGTTACTAGTATAGATCGTAATTTTCTTTGTTTTCGGTCCTGCAAAGAAAATCAAAGAAAGCTTAGATGACAGAATATAACTTCTAGTAATAATTATTTACAATTTTTTTAAAAATTGAGGGATACAGCGTGATTTCAAAAATATCCAAACATAATAATAAATTACAGCATATGAAGAAAAAATAAAAAAACTCACTGTATAAAAATAACACATGATACAATCAATTTGTTAATACGGAAGAATATTCGCTTAAGCGTACATTGAACATACGTGGGTTAGCCGTTTAAGTATTACAATCAGTCCTCCTAATTCTTACTTCCTCAGCGTGCACGGGAGGGACCTGACGAGCTATGTAGCTTCATGCGTGGAACAATATGAGTGGAATATACCTTGTCGATCCACTAATTTTAGGCCGTCGGAAGAGCCGTCTCTGCCAACGAAAATCATTTTAACAAGTGTCATGCTATTTTAGAAGCATTTGAGAAATGAGGCACGCGAATATGAACAAATTTTATAAAACTATAATTGAGAAGGGATAACTGAAGTTAACTGAGTTAACTCAGAATTGAAACTGAGAAGAGAAATTTGTTTCGCGTATTCAAGTCATTAAGTTAAAGATGCTTCCGCGACAAATATTTTCAAATATTTCACGCTTGCAAAACAGATTGTTATAAAACAGATTAAAAGAAATAATTGTTAAGAGTAGTAATAAACATGATATGCGACAATTAATATGTAATAAATCATATGACAGATTAATTAATACACAAAATGCATTACCGCTGATAATTTTCCGTTACAAATAATGTAACGGTAATAAAACATTCTTATTGTCAATAAGTATGTATAAAAAAATTGATAAAAAAATAACGAGATATTCCGATGTAAGAAATAAATATTACGCGTGATTTATATTTAATTCATCACGAGTAGTGCATTTGCAATGTTGATAATGACTCAGTTTAAAATGATGCGTATTACGATATGGTTAAATTGTATCGAGAGTCCACAGTCAGTACTCTTCCATCCGTTTAATCATTCAATCTGTTGAATTCTGCGCTGACGCGCACTGTTAAGTTTGCCCGATGTAAATTAGATAAAAAAAAGGCAATAAATATCCATTCTAATGTAATATAATTTGAATATAATAATTAGATTAATTATTAAAATGTAAATAGATTAATCAATTAAAATACATATTTTTCAGCCTGTTATGTTGGTTTTCAATTTATGAAATAAATAAATTCTTTTTCTATTAAGTTAAAATATATTGTAACAGTTAAAGAGAGTAAATTATTATACGAAATAATATGTCATATTAGTTTACATATATAAGATTAAAGCAAAGTGCCAAAAATTTTTTTAATTGCTATAGATATATTATAATTTTAGAAAAAATTATAGATTGTAAAAAAAAACTACAAATTTTAGACGAAATTTACAAATTATTTTCGAACAAAAATAGTTTAGAAATTTCCTGTAAAACAAGAAATGCGCAAAATGCATGACGTAAATACAATATAGTCGTTAAATGATGACGAAGTCTTTTTGCACAATTAAAAAACCTGTCATTTGCCGACTTAACGAATAGCTAATGTAATGCGATATCAATTGAATCGGCTAAATGGTTCAACTATTGCATAACAGTTCTTTTATCGATCTTAATAGTCATTTCATTGTTTATAGCATTTAAAATAAAAGTTCAATTCATTAGAAGTATAAAATAAATATATTTCGATTTATTGACAGGTATAGCAGCTTTAAAGAATGGAAGTCAGTTTTTCTATTAGTAATTGAATTTAATTAAGATATATTAGGGTTGGGCAAGTTAATGTTCTTTTTTAGCTAAATTAAATCGCAAAATTAATGGTTTATAAAATTAATTTAGTTATGTTAAAAATTACATGACAACAAGAAGTTAATTCAGTTGAAAATTGCGTTAAAATTAAATTAATTTAATAATTAATTAATTAATTAAATTAATTAATTTAATAATTAAGTTAAAAGTTAATTTTAAAAATCATTATTTACATTAAATTAGAATATAATTTTGTTAAATTAGAATATTTTAGATAACAAAATAATTACAATAGGAATTATCAAATAAATTTAATATTTTAGTTGTAAATTAAATTTATATGAGATAATAAAGAAAAAATATTCTTTTATATGGAAAATGCATTTCCTCTTTTACAATTTTTTTTTCTACATAAGTAAATTTTTAATTTAGGAAAAAAGTTAATAAGTTAAAGATTAAAGGTGATTATAAAAATAACTAGTAGAAGTTATCAATTAATTCATTTAAAATTAACTAAGTTAAATGAAAAATTATTAACTTTATTATTTAAAATTTTTAACTTTATTAAGTTAACTTATTAAGTTAACTTTTAATTAGTTATAATCCTGAAATATATATATGATACAGAGCATTAATTTAAATTCAATTATTTTCATAAAAATATCACAAAACTACAATATTGCTTACTAACTATTGCATTAAGCAATTACTGCTCATATAAAAATAAACAAATTTGCAAAATAAGCAAATCACATTTTGCAATTGTTTGATAATAATGTTTCATGTTAAACAATTATTTTATAAATTGAGGTAGAAAGAAGTTAACACATATTATACGTTAAAAGTCCATGTATAAACT